GAATTCCTTAATTCAATTGTAGATGATACATGGACCTTTACCTCAAAGGCTGTCTACTCATCCTTTCCCTTCTAAAAGCTTTACTGGAAACTGAAGTATTTCCTCTGTTAAGCCCTTCCTTATGTAGAGTTCAGTACTCTTACCTGTGTCCTAAATTTCTCTGTGCCATTTTTCTTAACCCTTTCTCATCCTTTATTCCTGCCCCCTAAATGAGTGAGGTAGGTCTTTTTGATTGGCCCATGCCATGTTTTATTTATATCATCTCAATTAATTGCCTTATAATTGCATGATTATAAGGCCATTGTCTTCCTTAGACTCAGAACTTCTTTTAGACAGAGACTGAGTCATGGTATATCCTTATTCCTAATACAGTAGCTGGCACATACTAATTTCTCAGTGAATGTTGACCAACTACGTGAATGGATGAATGCTCATATAACCCTGTTTTTTTTTTTTTTAAGATTTATTTATTTATTTTAGAGAGAAAGAGAGCATGAGGATGAGCAGGAGCAGGGGAAGGGGAAGGGGAAGAGGGAGAGGAGGAGAAAGTGAAAGAGAAGCAGACTTCCTGCTGAGCATAGAGCCGATGCAGGGCTCAATCTCACAACCCTGAGATCATAACCTGAGCTGAAATCAAGAGTTGGACACTTAACTGACTGAGCCACGAGGCAGCCCTTTAACCCTGTTTTAAATGTAACATGCTATAGTGTATCTCCTAAAAGTTTGGGAGCTCTTTGAAGAAAGAATAATTGTTTAAATTTTTATGCCTCTAAATTTTATATCTCCCTATATAACTAGCATGGTATCTTCCACATAATACATATTCAGTAAATGAGTGGCTGGATAAAGGAATGAATGAGTATGTGTACAGTACTATCATAAGACAATTCTCCACCCAGGAAAAAACCCTGTGATTACAAAAATCATTTTACTATGACTATTACAATAGAACCTTTCAGCTTGTTCTCTGCTTTTAGAAGAGCATGCTGTTTTGAATGAAACATTTAGGTCAAAATTTTGTTTGGATGAATCAGTTCTCACCCTGCCACACACAAACTTGTTTGGAGGATTAAATGACTAAATGTCTACATAAATACTTTGTAAACTCCAAAGCACTCTAACAGACACAAGCTGCTGATATTCAAAAAAATCCTCTCTCTTTCTAGAGATGGGATTCATTGGGTAGAAAATCTTTAGAGTTTTCTTTGCCAAGCGTTTGTCACTACTCAAATCCTCTGTAGTTACATATTTACATAACCAGTTTGAGGTGTAATTGTCCAGCATATCTGGCTCATTTGCTCAGGATAATCCAGAATGAAATATGTCAAGATATTATAGTCAGAAAAAGACAACCAAGGAAGATGAGAGACTTGGAGATATCAACCTGTCTAAACAGCATAGTATTTTAAAAAGATCAAAACCCATAGATAGTTTTGTCTCTTGAGAGAACATGTTTTCCAGGGTTAGCATTGCAAACGCTAAATCCTAATCAAGTCACATACAGACAATCTGTAGGTATGACTATCCAGGGTAGATGGATGGGAGAGAAGGGGAGGGGAAAGCTGGGTCTCTGGGTTAATTTGTTACCAACTTTTATCTTAAAATCTTGTTTGGCCCTTTAGGGAATTCTAATGTTCCCTCTTGATTTATAGGTTGAAAGAGCACTTTCCTCTAGTATTAGTTGTCTTTCTAAATGGCCTTGTAACGGGTGTGGATCTTCCAATTAGGTGATAACCCTAAACTCTTCTGAACACATTAAATGTTAGAAACAATATTGAAAAAGGAGAATGAAAACTTACAGGGAAAAAGGAAGAATTTTAAGCCCTTTACATTACCTACTGTGGCAAATCCCTTGACCCCTGTTAGATTTTCTTCTTTCAAAGTAGAGGGAAGGTTTAAGTAAAACCAAAGGTTACGGTTTTCAATAACTACACTTGGGTTGAAAGCTCTTGTGAGACCATCTCTACTGGCAGTTCTCAACCTTTGTTATAACTCAGACTCAGAGGAATAACTATATCTTATGGTAACAGTAGCTCAGAATGATGGTGGTTTTCAAATGGACGGTACACTCCTTTGGAAGACAGAACATATTAAATTCTTGGGAGGAATGTGAGGTCTGGAAAAGATTCATGAGTGAATGACATTTCCTCTCCCCACATAGAGTTGTGGACCTAATAAAAAGCCTCTTATTTTATACATGAGAAAAGTGAGGTTTAAAGTTTTAAAGTAACTTTCCCAAAGTTTCACAGATGGATTAATCTGCTTGATTAAAACACTAATGGGGTGGGGGGCGCCTGGGAGGCTCAGTCATTAAGCGTCTGTCTTCGGCTCAAGTCGTAGTCCCAGGGTCCTGGGATTGAGCCCCACATCTGGCTCCCTGCTCAGCGGGAAGCCTCCTTCTCCCTCTCCCACACTTCCTGCTTGTATTCCCTCTCTCGCTGTCTGTCAAATAAATAAGTAAAATCTTAAAAAAAAAAATACTAATGGGAAAGTCTTCATATCCAAAACTCAGGTAGTAATGGAGTAAGAGAGACTTACTCAGATTTCCATCTTTCTTTATACTACATGCTTCATCCCTGGAAGTTCAGATACTCCTTATTTTAGCCCCCTCACACTTTATGAGTACTTATATTCCTCCACCCAAGCATAGCTCAATTATTATTTATCTCTTGTGCTCCATAAAAATAAACACTATCTAGATATGAAACAAGCTTACTACTACTACTACTAATAATAATAATAAATTAGTACAAAGGAGACATTCATCACTGTTAACATTGTTTGATATGAATTCTCATGATTGGAAATAATAATAACTAGCTTTTTTGGTCCAAGTTTTGATTTAAATTCTAGCTGGTTAACATATAGTGTAATATTGATTTTAAGAGTAGAATTTAGTGATTCATCATTTACATACAACACCCAGTGGTCATCATAACAAGTGTCCTCCTTAATACCCATAACCCATTTAGCCCATCCCGTACTACCTCTCTCCATCAACCCTCAGTTTGTTCTCTATCATAATAATAACTAGCATTTTAACTTTTAAATTTTTAAAAGACTTTATTTATTTATTTGACACAGAGAGAGAGCACATGCAGAGGGAGCTGCAGAAGGAAAGGAAGAAGCAGGCTCTCCCCTAAGCAGGGAGCCTGCTGGATCCTAGGACCCTGAGGTCATAACCCAAGCCAAAGGCAGCTGCTTAACCGACTGAGCCACCCACATGCCCTAACCACTATTTTAATAATATTTTCAAATTTCAAAAAGCTTAAGCTCATATGTAGATAAATTATATTTATTTATCTGGCTTAGGCTATCAGAAAAGGAAGATAAGATTGTCCTGTTACTTTGTGTGTTTTATTAACACCCTTGCAGATTGTGGTTATGATTTGGGATGAATTTATATGTATCATCTAATAATATTTGTATGAATAAGGTGAGATACTAACGCTGTTTCACAGATGTGACTACCAAGACTCAGACTAGCTTATTACAGCAAGTACATGGTTGAGCTTAGCTTGAAATTGTGGTCATCTGACATTGGTTGAGTGTACCTCATGTACCCTATTGGTACTATATGTCATATTTTGATTTAAACAAGAAAAATGAGCATGGGGATCGATGGCCTAAGTGTATTTTTATGGTGACTTTATCAATAATCACTCAAACAGCACTTTAGAATTTAGTGATGTCTTAAAAATAGATTACCTAAATAAAGTTTGTTCTAAAAAGCTTATAAATCACAAAAAATAATTCTTAGTGTAAGTACTGAACTCAATATTTTATTCCAGTTAGGTCAGAAATGTTAGGATCATTGCTAACATGAAAACATATTAGCTGATAACATGTCTTAAGGCCCATTAAACAGATAGAAAATGAAAAATACCAGAGGCAGCTTCTCACACAGGAAACATTTGTGGGCATCAGAGTCAGTCAGCTTCTTGCTGCAATCCCAGCAAGGCTGTTTTATTGTAGGGTAGCTTTTAGGCAAGTTGCTTAGCCTCTCTGAGCCTCAGTTTACTCCCCTGTAGAATGGGTTCAATAATACTGCTATCTATACTTATTGTGGTGACTAGTGATAAAATAATGGATCTAGAACAATTTTCAGCATATTCAGTAGCTCAATAAATCACAGCTAGGTTTTTTAATGACTATTGGTAACATTATTATTAGTCTGTTTATATTATAATTGAGTGTAGAATAAAATAAATAAAAGGTAAAAGATATGTTATTTGAATCACCTTCTCCCCTTTTTAACACTAATCTGGTCTCATTATTACAGGGATGGAGGTGTATTGTTAGTGAAAGTGAAGCACTTCATTATTTCTAACAAGCCGATTAGAAATAATTTGTAAGAGTTATAACGAAAGAATAGGTTAGCTAGAGATAAATTTCTTATGTAAGATGAAGTGCCTGGCAAATGGCTTACAGTGTCAAATCTTCATGTTCCTTGTTTGATTTCTTTGCACCTCATTTTCTGTTGTGGCAAGAAAGACCTCTAAGATCTGTTCTGTAACGACTGTACATTCTGGGGTTCTATGAAATGCTCTAGAGAGAATCATCACCACTAGCTCACAATCAGGAAGGGGAGACAGGTAAACAAGTCTCTCTGTACCTTGACTAAAGTGATCTTGCATGGGTACAGTGTGTATCAATTTTGTCTGGAAGCCCAAAGGAAAGAAGACCAGTTTTACCTCTGGGTTAGGAGGGTTCTCAGATGGGTCCTGTGGGGGCCTGAAAGGCCACCTGCTGAGGAAGCTTAGTGCCCAAAATCCAGTCCTTAGAGTTATAGGAAAAGCAAAGGATGATTTCTTATGCCCTAATAAGAGTAGAAATTACATACCTAGTTTTCTGCCGCACTGCACCAAAAAAATCATTCTCAAAGGCTTCTCCTATACTTGCAAATAATGTAATAAACATATTGATGATGGATATGGCAGCTTGTATATATTGCTGCACATAATATATAAGATATAACAATCACCTTTACTTATTTGCAGCAAAACCAAGGCAAATGCCCAGCCCAGAATTGTTCAGTGGAAGCCCCTGCTTGGATGCCTGTCCACCACTGTACTGTAAGTGTGATTAAAGGAGAATTATTTTTATATTTCGGAACAACCTTAGTGGAATGGGCTAGAATCCTTCCAGGGATTCTAGAAAGATTTTCTTTTTTTTTCAGAAAGCTCTGCATTGTAAGAAATATCTGTGATCAGGGATTTATGTGTTTTGTTTGTTTGTTTGTTTGTTTTGTTTTGGAGTCAGGATAATTTGCCAAAGATTTATTTAAATGGATTATTGATGATTTAGATTTGGATGGACAGTCATTAAAATGAATATATTTGCACATGTATTTTTTTCAGTAGCTGCATATTCAGCAATACTTGATTTTAGATGCTTTATAGAAGGATGCTTTCTCTTCTGTCATTGTTGTGTTGACTATTTAATAGTGATGAGTACACGGATTTCAAATTTTCAAGTCTTTCTTGTATAATAATGGTCTCTGCATTTGTGTGAAATCTTCTATCAGAGAATTTTCAAGTGCCTTAGAAACAAACAGGTACTATGTCATTATCCCTGTGTTACCAATGGGAGATTTAAATGCAAAGGGAGTAAGAATAATGTATCAGTTGTAAAGCTGGGAATAGATCCCAGACACCCTGACTCTTTTCATGAACTCATTCTACTACACTGTAAAGAAAAGTCCGTGAAGAAGTGGCTGATTTGTATGATATTCTCCCATACGTGCTTTGCCTGATAGATGTGACAATGGTTCCTTTGGGGAATGTGTGTACTGTAACTGACAGTTTGCCTGTTATAAAATAATTTGTGTGTGTTGGAGACAAGGAATCTGAAAATTACTTTTCGGGCATTCCCCTCATTTGACCCACCGTGCAAGCAATGTAAAATGATATGCGGAGCTTCTTAAATACCGTCATATATTGTTGCTATAGAAGCTGCTGGAAGGTGAAGCTGGGCTATCATAGCGCAACTTAGGAGTGCTTTCTAATGCAGTAGGCCTGGGGGAGCCTACTTTTCACTCTGATTCATAAGAGTATGAAGCCTTTTGTTTTTGTTTATCTATGGAAGGAGGAGAATGTGGGATCACTTTCAATGTAGGAGAGATGGTGTAGCTAAATTTTGGAGGCATTCCTGCGGTGCGGAGGCAGCCCAGACTTGCTGGAGACTTGGAGAATAAAAATGTCACACTTGTGAGAGCAGATGGTCAGAGGGGCGTGCATGCTATGGGACTCTGCTAATGCCAGAGAAAGGATGAGTTTTAATAATTCTGTTTCTTCATCAGTCACTCCTCCTACTGTATCCCTGGTGATATTATCTCATAATTAGTGATTTGTAAGTCTGGGTGCTATTCGGGGTCCTGGTGTACCTGTGCTTAGGTAAATGCCTGGTATGTGGTAGGTGCTCTGTGAGAGCAAGTTCAATGAATGAGACTTCAGTCTGTTGACTTCCTCTTTAGTAAGTTTTATTAAATTACCTACAGCTCTTATATTTGTTGGCAAAGAGGAATAATTGTAGTATTTTACCTTCTTGGGTGGGTGGTTTCCATTTCTTACTTTCAAGGGTCATTTTACACTTTTCCTGCACCGAGTATGATTGAGAATGTATTTCAAGGAATTTTGTTTCAACCTAAGCCAAATTTAGTGGTTTGATTCAGCTGTGTCAGGCGCTATGACTGTTGCTGGAAGTATGAAGATAAGTAAGATAGTATTCCCATTTTACCAAAGACAATCAATATATAACACTAGACAGAATTCTTATTAGGGGACTCCTGGGTGGCTCAGTGGGTTAAGTGGCTGCCTTCAGCTCGGGTCATGATCCCAGGGTCCAGGGTTTGAGTCCTACATCAGGCTCCTTGCTCAACAGGGAGTCTGCTTCTCTCTCTGCCTCTGCCTGCCACTCTGCCTACTTGTGCTCTCTCTCTCTCTCTCTCTCTGACAAAAAAAATAAATAAAATCTTAAAAAAAAAAAAAGAATTCTGATTAGTAGCTGATCCTCTACTACACTGATCATTTCAGGCCCAAATAACAGAAATTTGACATTTAGTTATTTAGTTATTTTGTGCAGTCTTATGGCAAGTAAATCTATTATTAGAATTATGTCTTTTGGATTATTAAAAATAATACATCTTTTATTATTACCTTAGACTTGGACCCTGTAGGATCTAGAAATCCCAGATTAGGTCTTTCTGTTATAGGAAATTTGTGACCAAGTCGATGACTACATTTAAGACTCTTCCTGAAGAGCACAAGTCAGAAATGACAAATAGTCTGATTCTCAATTCTGTGGTCAGGTGAGAACATCAGAAAGATGTTTTTTCTTGTTTCTGCTGTGGAATTAAGAGCTGCTGGTTTCATAGATTTCCTTTGCTGTTTATTTAAAAGTAATTACATTTCCCAGTGGGGCAGACACTTTCCAGAGGAGTTGACAACTCATAATGATTCTGTTTTCTCTGTTAAGTAACCCTGATCCACAAAGGTAGGCTTTCAAGGTCCATGTTTGGGCTATGTGAGTCTGTCCCTGGCCATGCCTGACTGATCTAGGGGTAAATATCTCATCTCACCTGGGCCAGTTGGATTCTCTCTCCTGGGAATTTAGCATATGTACTAGAGAGATACCAAATTGATATTCAATAGTATTGAATCATACAAATGACAATAGTTTGGAAAATCATCTGTGAACCTCAGCTGTTGAAATCCTTAGGCCTGTTCTATACCTGTCCTTCTGAGATTCTGCTTACTCAAATCTCTCTTTGATTTTGTGAAAAGGTCCCAATAATCTGCTGATCATCAGTAAGTTACATTCCCCCCCTCCAAGTTATTCTAGATTTTGTTTTTATTTTGTTTATTTGGGGAAGTGTAATTTAAAAAAAAAAAAAGATTTTTATTTATTTATTTGACACAGAGAGAGAGATCACAAGTAAGCAGAGAGAGAAGGGGAAGCAGGCTCTCTGCTAAGCAGAGAGCCTGATACGGGGCTCGATTCCAGGACTCTGAGGTCATGACCTGAGCCCAAGGCAGAGGCTTAACCTACTGAGCCACCCAGGCTCCCCTGTAATTTTTTTTTTAATTTGCAACTAAAGAAGGAAAAAAAAAAAACACCACTTTAACGAATACCCCTAGTCAGCAGCACTTATGAAGCTCCCAATAGCATTTACATACTGAGTGGTAGTTACACACAGGAAGAAATACTGAGAACACTGAGATTTTGAGAATTTTCAGTAGTTTATTTAATAATGGAAATAGTCTATTTCTATTTATTCCAAATATCTAATTATATACAACACTTGGGTACATAAAAAATGACCAAAGAATAATTTGGTAATGACTTACTCCACATTATAAAATTAGAAATATGAATAATTAACTATATAACTGGCATAAGCATATTTATAAAACAAAAATACATATAAAATGTATAGTCTTTTTGGTATTAATTTCCATTCTCTCATCTCTCAGGAAATAGAAAAATCTTAGCCTCCTGTGTTTAAGAGAATGTTTTGTCTGTCTCAAATCCTTCATTGACTGAAGCAAGTTATAAATAAATTAATGCATACTTACATTGTTAATAGATAGTCTGTTATCTTTGTGCATTTTTAAGTTTACTTGATTGCTTCCTACATTTTTCTTCCAGATGCTCTATTATTGTTCCTTGGTGCTTTGCTCTGAAATGATCGTATCCTTATAATTGGGCTTTATTACTTTTTCCAAAAACGTCTCGGTCTTTGTGTGTGCATTTGCCCCAGGTTCATTTTAAGTGCAGAGCTTTTATCATTGGTTTTCTTAAGAATGCTTCTCTCTGCAAATTGCTCTGCAAATGCCTGTCACCAGCTCCATGTTGCCTTGAAAATGGCTTCTATTACTATTTGCTTAGTCTCTTCCTATATGCTCTCTTTTTTTTGCACTCCACACCTCTGTAACAATGAAACTAAGAGGTATTTTAAAGACTTTTCCTTTTAACCAGAACTAACTTTGCACAAATTAGGGTTGAAGATGAATAGAAATTTTACCTTCAGTAATTATACAGAAACATGGACGTATTTATGCTTTTTGAATAACCGTAAATAAAATATCTTCCCTAACAAAAAGCATGACAGTTTTATTTGTTAATTTCTCTCTCCTTGTATGGCTGCATTAAGGACTAGAATGATATCCTTCTTCACCTCTACGCTTTTAAATTTAATTGGGTCATACAGTCAAATGAATATGAGCAGTGGTTACCTGAACCCCTGCCACTTATAAGCCAATGAAAGAGACCCATTGGTTCTGGGACTCAGGTGAAAACTGGCTGATCTCTGAATCTGGGGTGAACTAGGCCAAGAATTAGTTTCTGGTGCTTAAAAACTAAGAACCTTAGATTCGACCAACTGCAGGAGGCTTGAGTGGCTGCTACATTTCAAGGCCTAAATATCTGAACCACTCAGTATGGTTATGGCTTATGCACGGAATTGTTCACTTTCAGGAATGAAACTTAGTTATTGGGCATTACTTAGAAATGACTGTAATATGTGATTTTATTGTTTGGAATATGATATATAAATACATATGGTTTGTCTACAATAATCACTTTGTTTCTCTGCGTATTTGCATACTTTAAAAATAATGCAATGAGAGGAGTTTCCAAAAGTTCCTGCTGTTATAGAGATTATCATGAATATTGTTATACCTGTATATCTCTCTTGTTATGTAATATTCACCCATAAATAGATATGTGAAGTATTTTCAAAAATCATGTTAACATTTGCAAATTAGAACGCTATATTCTGACTACATCAACTTTCATCTACTCATTTAAAAAGCATTTGCTGAGTACATTTTATAAGTTATAAACCCTTGCATTCTTTAAGATAAAGCAGGAAAAAATACATTTAAATAATCATTATGCTGGATAATACATGCTATAAAATGCTAAGACAAAATGCTATGGGGTACCTGGGTGTCTCAGTTGGTTAAGTGTCTGACTTTTTTATTTCTGCTCAGGTCATGATCTTAGGGATGTACAATTGAACCCTGTGTCAGGCTCTGTACTGAGCATGGAGTCTGCTTAAGATTCTCTCCTT